GGAGGCAGAGGCAGGAGACTCGCTTGAGCCCAGGAGTTGGAGGTTGCTGTGAGCTGTGATGCCATGACACTCTACCCAGGGGGACAGCTTGAAGCTCTGTCTCAAAAAAAAAAAAAAAGAATCTGAAATTCAGGCCAAGTTGGGTGGCTCACAACTATAATCCTAGCACTAGGGGAGGTTTAGGCAAGAGAATCTCTTGAAGCCAGGAAAAGCCTGGACAATAAAGTGAGACCCTTTCTCTACAAAAATTACAAAAACTAGCCAGGTATGGTGGCACATGCCTGTAGTCTAGCTACTCTGAAGGTTGAGGCAGGAGAATCCTCTAAGGCCATGAGTTACGTGGCTGCAGTGAGCTACGATCCAATCACTGCACTCCAGCTTAGGGCCACAGAGTGAGAGCCTATCTTCCCCTTCCCTCCGCCCCCTCAAAAATCTTAAATTGAAACAGTGTAAAAGACTAGCAAAGTCTTAACCCAAGATACTGTTGACTGTCACATTTCTGGATAAGAGAGAGCGGGGGAAAAAAGTTTTCACCACCACTACAAAGCTAATAGTTTTTTATGGGAGTATTCACCTATAAATACATCATTTCCCAAAACTAATTCCTGCTCTCTATTGAAAAGCTATTTCAAGGTAACAGATCACACAAGCTACCAAAAATGTATCAATCTACTAAGAAAACAGGTGTAACGATATATATAAGTATCAACTTAAGTGAAAAAATTTTGGAGGTGTAAAAAAGAATTGCATTGTATTTCGGAACAACTTTAATATAGAATGAATTACAAAAAAGATTTAAAATATAAAAAGTTAAGTCAAGAACTCATGGAGATTTTTCCTTTTTTCTGAGAAATGCAACAAAAGCAGAATCATCTCATCTGACAATACTTTGAAAAACAAAGAATACAGTGGGGGAAGCGACCAGATGAAGAAATATCCCAAGCTCAGATAATTTGACACTAATTCTAAAAATCCTCAGACTTGACTAAATATGTTAAGGTATTTAAAATTGTTGCTTCATAAATAATGCGCGCTCGTTCAGCAACATTATGTTAAACAGAATAGTAATCGAGTAGGAGAATTATTAAATCTACTTCTCCTCCATTGATATATACCTCCGGGTGACATTTCTACTTTTGTAAAGCACTTTCAAAGTAGTCGGGGTGTCCGGTTAGGCTTTTTGGTAGGGGGTGCTACAGAAGGAAAGCCAAAGTGAACTTAAAAATACTTGGCTCTTTTCCAGCTGGCAATGCAAGAATAAAGTTTACATCAGAGAAAATAAATACAAGCAGCCCCAAGAAAAAAATTACCGCCGAGGAAAAAAAAAAAAGAAAGGAAGAGTAACAGGAGGAGATTAAAAATAAAATTAAAAGAAGGCTGTAAAGAGAAAAAGAGGTTAATCCGAAAAGGGGTGTGCGGGGTGGAGTCGGAATAAAAAAAGATCGAAAGAAAGCATGGGACAAAAGGAAGGTTCGCCGAGTTCTAAAAAGGTTTGAATGAAAAAGTCTTTTCTCCAGGTCTAACACCACGAAGGGCCTGTGGCGAGGCCAAAGGCTACGCAGTGGTGTAGTTAAGGGATTAATTTCGAGAGTTGAGCCCCCACTCCCTTGTCCTCTCACAGCCCCGGGCTCGGTTCTAAGCGTCCAGGTGTGCGCTAAGAAGAACCACCATATCGCGGCGTCCACGGAGAACAATAGGCTGGGGAGCGGCGCAGGGCCGAGGCCTTCCCTCCGGGACGACCACCATCCCGCCTCCCTCATCGCTGCCCCAGACTCACAGAGTCTTGGGCATCTCGTCCTCCATGGCTGCTGCTGTCGTGGCGGCGCCTCCGGGTCCAGCTCCCTGCCCTTCACTACGTCCCAAATCGTTTGAGCAGCTATGACTGCGGAATAGCGGGGTTTCTCGGCTGACCAGAGGTTACTCCGCCTCTTTCTTCCCCAGCAATTACACTAAACTGGCCAGCCCGGAACGAACAATGAAGCCCCAATACAAGATGGCGGCGAGCCGGGAACCTAGGAGCAGCCTGCGAAGTGACCCGGACCGCGCAGGCGCAGGATAACCTTGCACGCTCAACCTCCGGACCGCCGACTACATCTCAACCTATAGGTTCACTTGTTGCGCAGCCGCTCTTCCATCCGACCCGAGGGATGTCTCAGACTACGCAGGCGTGAAGATTAACTCTTTCTAGACTTCTGTAAACCTTTTACTCTTCCCGCGGCGTATTTGAATGTTTCCACAGTGAATTATAAACAGAAATCTGAAGGAGACTTAAAAAATATAAACACTTTAATGGCAGGAAATATTTATCAAGAATCTTTAACTTGTCCTATTTTTCAAGGCAAGCAAAAGTAATCTTTTACAGAGGGAAAGAATAACTGCGCCGCCCGGGAATCGAACCCGGGTCGCAAGAATGGGAATCTTGCATGATACCACTACACCAGCGGCGCTTGTAGACTAGGTTGTCACCAAAATTCCTTAGAAAGAAATGAGTAGACAGTCCTTTTCATGTAAAGATAATTTTCACATATTATTTGTTTACTTTTTAAAAAATAAGAGTTCATTGACAACGTATAATTGGCCATTGTATTAATATAAAAAATCACCTCAATACAATTGTATAGATTTTTCTATACAGAAAAGTCTTAATTTAACATTTTTTACTTAGAAAAGTCAATTTTGGCTCAGTGCCTGTGGCTCAAGTAGCTAAGGCACCAGCCACATACAGCTGACTGGTGGGTTTGAATCTAGCCTGGGCCTGCCAAACAACAATGATGGCTGCAACCAAAAAATAGCTGGGCGTTGTGGCGGGCGCCTGTGGTTCCAGCTACTTGGGAGGCGGAGGCAGGAGACTCGCTTGAGCCCAGGAGTTGGAGGTTGCTGTGAGCTGTGAAGTTACAGCACTCTACCCAGGGGGATAGCTTGAGGCTCTGTCTCAAAAAAAAAAAAAAAAAGGCAATTTTTTCATCTATAAAATGAGGATAACAGAAAAGAAATAAAAAAAGAAAAGTCAGATTTTCAAATTGCTCTGTTGGTGCTAACTAAATATTTGGGAGCAAAGAACATATATCCAGGGGGAGGGGGTGGGACATAAAAATAATAAAAATAAAA